ATGTATGTATGTATATGTATATATAATATGTATTTATATCAGAGATCATTTATATATGTATCTACATTTTTTAAATATACATATTTTGATACACGTACAGGTTCCCAAAGGCCCGCCCTCACCACCCGCACCAGTACTACACTCCCCACCGCGTAAAGTAACACCTCAAGAACAAAGTGAGTGGAAGATACCTCCCTGTATATCCAACTGGAAGAATCCCAAGGGTTATACTGTGCCTCTGGACAAGCGATTGGCAGCCGATGGTAGAGGTTTACAGGAACAACAGATCAATCACAACTTTGCTGATTTGGCGGCTGCGCTGTATCACGCCGACAGGAAGGCCCGTGAGGGTGTTGAGCTCAGAGCGAGTATGCAGAAGAAGGTGTGTGTCTCGGATGCATATCTATCTCCTGCATGCTATCTATTCGGTTCGCTTGGTTTGGGCGATATTGATCTTTGCTGTGCTTAGGTGATTCGTTAGTATTTCCGCCATTGCGGTTTCTTATCCGTGTGTGACTAATTGCAACCTGAATTCGCTATGTTTTCCATTTGGTATAGCTTGCAACGATTGAGAAAGAGAAACACGAGAACAATTTGCGAGCGCTGGCGCAGAAGGCCCGTGACGAACGCGCTGGAATTCAACATCACAGTGACAGCGGCAGTGACGAGGTATGCATTCAGTGGGTTATTCATAGGTACATAGGTATGTATTCAGTGGGTCAATCATGGGCACATAGGTATGTATTCAGTGGGTTAATCATAGGTACATACGGTGATGTTCTGAAGTAGAGTGTTGATTTGGGGTACATTGTACCGTGACGTACGCGTTCATCCCGGTGCGATAATTCAAGTGGTGTCTGTCAACCAAAGTTTTTATTTTCGATCGGAGATACTGTGCCGAGATTTTTCCACGACCACTCCTGGCCATGCACCCACATTAGCAGTGGCACGTCTCAACTGTGTTGCTTGCATCGAATCATGTCTGTCCATGCCATTCTATATAAATAGGAGGTGGCACAGAGGGATCAAATCCGAGATGATCGTAAATACGAGCGTGATCGTGACCGCAAAATGGCGAGTTCCAAAGCCGCCAAACGCGGCACAACAGCACGTGATATGGAAGAACGTGATATCAGTGAGAAGATTGCGTTGGGGCAGGCGGTTAAGCCCAATGTGCAGGGAGAAAATCTGTATGATCAACGACTGTTCAACCAGACTAAAGGCATGGGCAGTGGGCTGCAGGGAGATGATGATGCGTATAATATATATGATAAGGTGTGTCATTCAATTTATCTATCATTATATATATATATATATGTATATATATGTATACATATATTTATATACATATATATATATGTATATATATATATATCTATCTATGTATATATCTATATCTATATCTATATCTATATATATCTATATCTATATCATATCTATATCTATATCTATATCTTTATCTTAATATATATACATACACTATATATATATACATACACACACACACACATACACACGCACACACACGTATATATATATAAATATATATATATTTTAAATAAAAGTATATGATT